CCACCCCTCCTCCTTCCCCCCCACTTCGGCCTCCCTCCCCCAAACTCCCCCCCCCTCGGCCCCGCCTCTTCCCCAACCACGCAGCATTCCTCCTCCCTCCCAGGCTTGCAGCATGGTGGCACAAGCCTGGAGGAGGGGGTGGCGGCGGTGCCTCGATTCTGGAGCTGGTGAGTCAGCTCCGGCACCCGGGCACCGGGTGGGCAAAGGGGGGGCTGGCAAGGGAGGGAGACGGGGGGCTCAGCTGTGAACCCCCTCGCCGCGCCAGAGGGCTTCTGCCCGGGTTGCTGCACCCGGGGCCGGGAGCGCAGCCTGGAGGCTGCTTCAGCCCTGCAGCCCGCGGGGCAGGGCGGTGGGTCCGGTCGGGGGCAGCGCAGAGCGGGCAGGGGCCAGGTGGGCGGCGCGGGGGCGTGGGCCAAATCCCTGCTGCTGCCGGGGAGCCCCACACCTCTCCCTCCCGCTCGCAGCTGCGGCTCCTTCCTGGCGGGACCCGCCCGCCGGCCTGCCCCGTGCACATGCGGCGCGCGTCCAGCTGCTCCTTCCTGGCAGGAGGGAGACTAGGCGCGGGGGATGCGCGCCGCATGTGGCCAGGGCAGCGGGAGGCGCGTCCTGTCGGGAAGGAGCCGCAGCCGCGAGCGGGAGGGAGAGGCGCGGGGCTCCCTGGCAGCAGCGGGGATTCAGCCCCTGCCACCCACCCGGCTCCTGCCCGCTCCGCGCTGCCCCCGCCCGGACCCACCGCGCCCCGCATATGCCCGTGGCGGGCCGGGGGGGCGGGGAGGCTCCGCTGGGGAGGACAGCGCGCGGGGCCGGGGCTTGCTAATGCCCCAGGCCCCTTTAAAACTCTTTTCTTTTTTTGCTCCGCCCCCCGCTTTTTTTTTGCTCCGCCCCCGTGCCGATATTTTATACTACAAATCTGGTCACCCTACTCATTATAGAAGCCCATGTTCCCTTCTAAAACCTAAGACTGTAACTCATCAGTGTGTCTATAGTCACTGGCTTTAATCTTGTAAAGGGCTCTCTAATTTCCTGTACATCTCCGTAGAGTTTTTATACGATTGCTTGCAAGTGTTGTCTTTGCTGTGAGATCTAAGGTGCAACTGACCTGGGGTAAGTGACTGGTTCTTTGGGACTCAGACTAACTGACTATTGCTGTGATCCTTGGTGTAAGGGGCCATCTATCACGGAGATGTGCTCACCTGGGAGGCAAGGCAGACCGGACACCCAGGGGGACTGTCTGGGACTCTGTTCCTGAGGAGTTGGCACTTGGTTGGTGCAATCTAAGCTTAGAACTTGCAACCACTTAGGATTTGTGCCCTGGTTGGTTACAGCCTGCCCTGGTGTTGCCACCATTGGGAGTGTCATAGGGGCCCCTATGTACACCTAATAAATCATCAGCATAGTAATAATATACTAAGGCTCCGCGAATCCAGGCTCTTCTGGGGCACCTTCCCTTTGGTCAGTGTGAATCCCCCTCTTGCCATGGCAAGCCTCATGCTGCGGATTCAGCCAGACAAAATGACTCTGAGAACCATCCTGGAGTTTCCAAGGTCATCAGATGTGCTACCAAAATAGACGTGGAAATATAACGCCGCCCGGCAGCTCTTCGAGAGCGCTCCCCAGCCACAGACGTCAGCATGCTTTACCACGGAGGTCAGTGCCGTTAGCCCCATGGCACAGTGACTTGTCCGGGATCGGCTAGTAGGAAAGCCAGGAGGAGAAGCCACGTTTTGGAAGTGCCAAGCAGGGCCCCACCCGCCGGCCCATGGCCGCCTTAGCCCCTTTCCAAACCCTGGAACAGCCGCACTCTTCCCCCTCGTCGCTTTCAGCCTAGGCAGGAGGCGGTTGTGTCCCTGTCTCTGCAGTCTAGGAGCTCTGGTTCTCTCCCAGTGGGGTGCAATTTACAAAGCGGAGGCTGGTGCAGCCTTTTACAGGCCTGTGCTGTGTTACTAAGAGGAGCCCAGAGCTGGGAGCTGGAGTGGGGCCTGGAGCCCTCACCACGAGCCCCAGGCTCTTTTTCCCATTTCACGGCACATTTTCTAAGCAATTGAGGACGGCTGTGATCCTCCAGCCTGAGCTCCTGCATCTCAGGGCAGAGCAGATCACACGGTGAGTCCTGCTTCAAGCCCATATCTTGTGGCTGAGCTAGCGAACAAAGAGCACTAAACTGGGGGGAGAGGTAGATACGCTGGAGGGTAGGGATAGGATACAGAGGGACCTAGACAAATTAGAGGATTGGGCCAAAAGAAACCTGATGAGGTTCAACAAGGACAAGTGCAGAGTCCTGCACTTAGGACGGGAAGAATCCCATGTACTGCTACAGGGTGGGGACTGACTGGCTAAGCAGCAGTTCTGCAGAAAAGGACCTGGGGATTACAGTGGACAAGAAGCTGGACATGAGTCAGCAGTGTGCCCTTGCTGCCAAGAAGGCCAATGGCATATTGGGCTGTATTAGTAGGAGCATTGCCAGCAGATCGAGGGACATAATCGTTCCCCTCTATTCGGCATTGGTGAGGCCACACCTGGAGTATTGGACTCCCCACTACAGAAGGGATGTGGACAAATTGGAGAGAGTCCAGCGGAGGGCAACGAAAATGATTAGGGGGACTGGGGCACATGACTTATGAGGAGAGGCTGAGGGAACTGGGGTTATTTAGTCTGGAGAAGAGAAGAGTGAGGGGGGATTTGATAGCTGCTTTCAACTACCTGAAGGTGGGGTTCCAAAGAGGATGGATCTAGACTGTTCTCAGTGGTGGCAGATGACAGAACAAGGAGCAATGGTCTCAAGTTGCAGTGGGGAAGATCTAGGTTGGATATTAGGAAAAACTATTTCACTAGGAGGGTGGTGAAGCACTGGAATGGGTTACCTAGAGAGGTGGTGGAATCTCCTTCCTTAGAGGTTTTTAAGTCCCGGCTTGCAAAGCCCTGGCTGGGATGATTTAGCTGGGAATTGGTCCTGCTTTGAGCAGGGGGTTGGACTAGATGACTTCCTGAGGTCCCTTCCAACCCTGAGATTCTATGATTCTATGAGTTGCTCTTTGTGAAGGTACAAAGGGAACCGACCTGTCAGGGATTTTGATGCCCATTCGAAACATCTCCCTTTGGAATGTCCCCATGTCCCGGCACCTGGGGCATCGGAAATGGTACAAGGCAGCGCGGAGAGCGTGTCCCTGCGGGATAGACACAAACCGGGGAGCAGAGATCACATTCCTGCAGGGGAAAGAGGCGTAAACCCAGCTTGGGGAGGCAGGGCTGTGAATGAGCCATTGACTAGCAAAGAGCAAAAGCAACACGCAACTAGCTCGTGTCGGCAAGTGCTGCTCGCGGACGAAACGAGACCGGGAATAAGAAAATCCCCCGGAGCAGGAGGTGGTGGTGCAGGTTCCCAGCCCCACGAGTTGAGCTCTAGGGTAGTAAATGAGCTGCTAGAAGGGTAGAAAATCATCCTGGAAGTTACCTTCCAAGTAGGGGAACTGGCTCTGCCCCTCCTGTACCAGCCCGACAGCCCATAGCCCCCAGAGCAGTGGGGCCTGGTTCACGCAGTGGAGAGGAGCTGCTGCTCAGGGTGGATATGGGGGTGATAGTAGGCTGCTGCCGGAAGAAGGGTTCACTCTGGGTCCTAGGTGGCTTTCACCTCACCCTTGCTCTGGCCCTTTGCCAAAGTGTTTCTCCAGAAAGGGGTTCGAGCCCCCGCACTGCTGGACTTTGCGGGGGCCCAGGGACCCTGAATAGGACCCTTGTGATCCTAGAACTGCTCCATAAATACTCGCTGCCCGTGTCTGTTCCTGCAACAGCCAGGCAGATACCTCAGGCCGCGCCCCCAGGGACTGTCCCCAAACATTAATATCAGCGAGGGAACATCTAACAGCTACAGCCCGCGCATGGTTTGGCTCGAAGGTTTTCGTGGCCGGGGGGTTTCCAACCCACCCCCAGGAACCAGCGCGGGAAAAGGATTCGCACCTGGATGCAGCCTCGGTGGAACCAGGCGTGCTTGCAAGCCGGGCACACCATGGCGCTGTAGGAGGGTTTGCCTGGCATGGACTCCAAGCAGATGATGCAGATGGTTTCCGCCTGCTGCTGCCGCCGTCTCACTCGCTGCCCTGGCCGGTGCTTCCAGCAGAAGGATCTGGGAGAGGGACAGCACGAGGTGCTACAGTCACTAGATCATGCCTGGGGCTGCAGAGGCCGTGGGCTGCAGTGACAGCTCCACTGCTCTGGGAGTAGGGTGGCCAACTTTCTATTTGCAGAAAACCGAACACCCCTGCCCCGCCCCCTGCCCCGCCCCTTTTATGAGGTCATGCTCCCCCACTCACTCCGTCCCCCTCCCCAGAGGTTAAAGGAAGCCGGTACAGTCCAGTACGGTGTTCTGGCAAGAAAGTGTTGACTGTACCGGCAGGGCTGCTGATGGGGGAGCAAAAGCGGCAGCTGCCCTGGGGCCTGGTGATTTAAAAGGGCCCTGGGCTCCCGGCAGCGACTGAAAAGGCCCAGGGCTCCAGCCGCAGGCGTGGTAGCGGCAGCAGTGTCCGGGAGCCCCGGGCCCTTTAAATCACCACTGAAGCTCTGGGCGGCGCGGGCCGGGCAGCGCTGAAGGGCTGTCTGGGGGATTTTGGCCCCAGTCCCCACCCTTCCACCTGAGGCCCTGCCCCTTTCGCCCGAGGCCCTGCCCTTTCCGGGGGCCAAGCGCCACCCCTGACTTGCCCAGGACCCCGGCTGCTCTGCGTACTGGTAAGTCATCTAAGTTACTTTCGCCCCTGCCCCTCCCTTCATCCCTCGCTCTCCCCCACCCTCGCTCACACGCTCATTTTCACCGGGGTGGGGCAGGAGGTTGGGGTGCGGCGGGGAGTGGCGGTGAGGACTCCAGCTGCGGGTACAGGTAGGGGCTCTGGGGTGGGGCCGGAGATGAGGGGTTCAGGGTGCAGGAGTGGGCTCCGGGCTGGGGAAGGGGGTTGAGGTGCAGGAGGGGGTGCAGGGTGCAGGTTCCAGGCAGCGCTTATCTCAGGTGGCTCCCGGGAAACTGCTGGCATCTCCCTCCGGCTCCTAAGCAGAGGCGCAACCACGTGGCTCCCTGCAGGCACCGCCTCCTCAGCTCCCGTTGGCCGCAGTTCCTGGCCAATGGGAGCAGCTGATCTGGCACTGGGGGTGGGAGCAGCGTGCAGAGACCCAGTGATCATCCCTCTGCCTAGGAGTCAGAGGGAGATGGCAGCAGCTTCCCGAGAGTCGCGCGGAGCCGTTAGGGAGCCTGCCTGTGCCACCAACCGGATGTTTAGTGGCCCAGTCAGTACTGCTGACCAGAGCTGCCAGGGTCCCTTTACGACCGGGTGGTCTGCTCGAAAACTGGACACCTGGCAATGGGGAGCGGTTGCAGCATTTTAGAGCTCTTAATCTCCTTGTGCCTCTGGTGCAGAGGCAAGCACTGGTGCCAAGAATCCACACACCCAGGGAGTTTGGCTGCAATTGTATTCTTTTGGAAAAGAGGGGGAAAAAACCACAGATTTTCCAACCCCTACACTCGGAATCCGTGCCAGACCTTTGAAGGCTGCTCCTGATATCGGAGTCTCTCAGTACTGGAGCCATCCCTTGGTTTGCCCCTGTAATGCCAGCTACAGGGCTCTGCCCCCCCCCCCCAGTGCCAGGGAAGGCCTGGAAGGGCCCCTGTGCCCCACAGCCGTGCTGTCACCAGCATTTTCACAAGACACCCGCTACCCCAGGGGTGTTTTTGACTGGTGTGTTGTGTCCCCTGCAAAAGCTGACAGAGCCCTTCGCTCCGAGAGGTGCTAAGTAGGCTTCCAATCAGAGACTTTGCAGCCACACTTACTTAAACTCCCCGAAGAACTGATAGATGCAGCCTCTCTCGGAGCCGCAGGGGAAATGGAAGTTCTTGGTGCACTTCCTGCCCTGGCAGGCAACGGACGCCCCTTTGCAGCCGCACACACAGCAGGTCTGGAAACAACGGGACGGTGAGCAGAACAGGCAGCAGCTCCCAAGGTCCCTGCCACAGCCCTTTGGAGACTAAGGGAATCCTCCGACCGGCTTCATGTCCTACATCCACACCTGAGGGATCACTGTCCCTGCCATGCTAGGGAATCCGTGGAGATCACAAAGAGTCTCGGGGTGGGAATGTCACACAGAGCTGGGGGGAAAAGAGGCTACCTCTCCCCCCGGGAATGCTGAGATTTCTAAACGGCATTTTGTCCCAGATTGGGAGGGGGAGTCGAAATCTCAGAATCATTCGCAAAACAAAATCTTCCAAAAAGATTTCCTTGCCACTCTTAGATTATATTGTAGGGTCACAGAAAGATAGGACTGGAAGGGACCTCCCCAGCCCAGCTTAGCCATTAACAAAAGTCAAACCAGGAGAGTCTAAATGACACATTTTGATAATTGCCCGTCCAATATGTGGGTGACATGGAGACGTTCCCACCAAACATTGTGGTTTTGTCAACTCAGCATTTTTCAGCCAACATATGTGTTGTCAGACAGCGTTTGCTCGGCTAGCATCACACTAGCTCCTGTGCAGGCAGGAGGGCTGGGAGCCAGGGGCCCACGTCCTACCTCAGTCTCTCTGCACTCCTGCCCCTTGCAACTAGGGTTCCAACTTTCTAATCACACAAAACCGAACACACTTGCCCCGCCCCCTGCCTTGCCCCTTCCCCAAGGCCCCGCCCCTCCCCCAAGGCCCCACCCCACTCACTCCATCCCCCCTCCCTCACTCGCTCATTTTCACTGGGCTGAGGCAGGGGCTTGGGGCGTGGGAGCGGGTGAGGGCTCAGGGCGGCGCTGACCTCAGGCGGCTCCCAGAAGCGGCGACATGTCCCTTGGTTCCTAGGTGGAGGCGTGGCCAGGCAGCTCTGTGTGCTGTCCCCATTGGTAGGTGCTGCCCCAACAGCTCCCATTGGCTGCGGTTCCCAGCCAATAGGAGCTGCAGAGCCAGCACTCGGGGTGGGGGCAGCACACAGAGCCCCCCTGGCCACCCCTGTGCCTAGGAGCTGTAGGGACATGCCAGCTGCTTCCAGGAGCTGTGTGGAGCCAGGTAGGGAGCCTGCCAGTCCCAGCCTCCGGACTTTAAATGGCCCAGTCAGCACCGCTGCCAGAGTCCCTTTTCAACCAGGTGTTCTGGTCGAAAACCGGACACCTGGCAACCCTACCCAGAGCCTCCTCCTCTTCCCCTGCTCGGACCCCCCACCTCTCTCCCTTCCCTGTGTAGCGAATCCCCTCCCAACTAACTCCAGCCCCCATGACATTTGCCACCATCACATTGTTCTCTCTGCTTGTGTGTGATACCCCACCCTGGGCCTGTCCTGTCTAGTTAGTCGGTACACTAATTAGGGGGGAGGGATAGCTTAGTGGTTTGAGCATTGGCCTGCCAAGCCCAGGGTTGTGAGTTCAATCCTTGAGGGGGCTGGACTTGATGACCTTTCAAGGTCCCTTCCAGTTCTATGAGATAGGTATATCACTCCTGGGGACCAGCTACTCCCCTGGGTCTGTCCCCGCTCTTGGCTGGTCTCTAGGCACTACTGTAATAACCATGCTAGATAATAATAATACAGCAGGACTCGGCCTCACCTTCTGAACTGCCCGCTTCAATTCCTGCCTGATGTCCGGATACAGGAACCCGTAAAATCCCTCCTCATCCTTCCCCCTCTGGACCAGCCCGCTGGCGTGGTACTGGAACACAGGAGCATTGGCACACTGTAACCTCTCTCTCGTCCCCAGAAATTCCAGCCTGGACCTGAGAAACCTCCGTCGCCACATTTTCACCCCCAACCACAAGGAGTCCCCACAAAAAAGTTTCCATTCAACATATCAGCATTTCCCGATGAATTTTTTTTTTGGTGAGAATAAATCCCCCCTCCCCCCAGCTCTAATTAACGACTCTAAATGAGCCGAGCTGCTTAACGGCTAGTAAGCCGGGGATTTGCAAGGGGTCTAAGGCCTTGCTGCAGCAACTTCTGCACCCGTCAAAAGCACAACTGCAGCTCAACTGGATGGGAAAACAGGGAGGAAAGGGAGCCGTGCTGAGGGGACTTCTCCCAGGTGAGCCAGGACACTTAACAATCTGATGCTGTTTAAGTTCGTTATAAGAAGATCCCGGCTCTCTGGATCTCATTCTATATTTTTAATAAAACAGTGCGTTCAACTGAAAATGCAACGTCCTTCATTTCGAGGGAGAGTCTCTGCCCTTCGGGGCTCATTTCAGAGTCCCGGGATTGAGAAGTCTGGAGCTGGCCCAGTCGGAAGTTCGGAGGAGAGCAAAGAAGGTGCTGGTTGTCCTGGAATGCTAACCTGTGTGAGACTGGTCGGCAGCTAGGTGGCGCTGCGTGGGACATACCGTATCTGGGGCTAGCCTCAGCCAACCTGCCTGAGCATTAAAGCGTCCTCCGGCGATCACAACTGGTGGCTTTCTCTGAGAAGGAAGCTCTGGCCTCAGTCTATATCTGATGCAGACGCCTGACCTGCCAGTAGCAGCCCTGCCATCTACCATGTACATGACACTGACCTTCGAAAAAGGGTACCGGGAGCAACCCGGACAGTTTCTGTGTGGTAAATCTCATTTAAATCCCAGTTATGTAAGGGGGCAAATGTGAGGAAGTTGGTAAGTGTCAAGAGGATAGATGCAACCACGAGCAATAAGCGGCTTTGGGTGCCTGTGAGGAACAAATCAGGAGGTTTGGGTGCCTTTCAATGTAGGTCAGGGGTTTGTTACAGAAGTGAGTGGGTGAGATTCTGTGGCCTGCGTTGTGCATGAGGTCAGACCAGATGATCATAATGGTCCCATCTGACCTTAAAGTCTATGAGTCTGTGATGCTAAAGCACTCAGGCATTTTTGAAAATTTTCCCTGGTCACCCTAGAAAACAGATCTGTGATGGAGAGTAAAAACCAGGGCCAGCTCTAACTTTTTTGCCGCCCCAGGCAAAAAAAAAAAGAGCGCAATCCCGCCATAATACACTCCCCCCCGAGTGCGCCGCGCTGCCGAAACCCCCGCCCCCCCCGAGCATCGCGCCGCCAAAACCCCTCCCCTCCCCCCCAGTGCCGCACTGGGCTGCCGAACCCCCCGCCCCCAGTGCCGCGGTTATGGTATTTTGTATCCTGACAGAACAGGAAATGTCCCCAGTTTTGCTCCAAGGCAGGTCACAGCGTACATCAA